AGCCCCACTTAATCTTAGAATGTATCCATCTTTTGGGGTTTACTTTTTGGTCAACTTCTCTTCAAAATTAATTTGAATTGGATGTATTACAATTGAGTTTTTGACCATAATCTGTGGCTTAAATTTACCTGTATATTAGAATTTCCTATGAGTAGAGTTTTACAATATGTGTGGCCTTATGTTAGTATATGACATTATATTGTATCATTATCTGGTTGGCAGTAGTCATTAATATTGAATCATTTTAACCTAATATCAGCTATAAATGTCCATTAATGTTGAAAAAATGGTCAACCTCACTAACCTATAACTTCTGCAGTAGATTTTTTATATATTATAAACTCCATGTAAAATGAGAGTTATATTAACTCTAAATTTTGCAGGGACGTAATTATTCAAGAATGCCTGGAAAACTACACAAGATTCTCACAGGATGAATATGTGTTTATCCTGAAGATGCCCTTTTTATTAATGTCACATATAAAATTTTAGTCCAATTACATGCATAGCCACCTAACATGCAAGTACAAAATAAAAATCAAAGTTAATTTATAAATAAAAACATCAATAAGATAAATACGCTCCAACATTATGTTTGAATTTGTCTAGAATTTCAAAACTGTTTAATTATTCTTTTTTGGAACTGGGGTTACAGTTAAATAATGAAAGTGGTATGCAAATAACATATCATGTATTTTTCCTAATCTCTGTGTCCATAATTAAGGCAGATATAATTTACATTATTGTAATTTTTATGCAATTTATATTTAATTACATACACTTGACATATGCTTGTAATTTACATACTATGCCAGTGACTTTTAAAATGTTTTAGTTATCTATTACTGTATGACAAATTACACCACATTTAGTGATTTAATACAACAATAACCATTTATTATCTTTCATACTTTCTGGGGGTCAGCACTTGAGACACAGCACGTCTCTGCTCCATGATACCCCGGACTCATCTGGAGCTCGGAGGCTGGGGCTGCAATCACCGGAGGTCCCATTCCCTGGCAGGCAGGGTGGTGGATGCCAGCTGAGGCTGGGACACTCATTGGAGCAGTTGTCTGGGATGCCCACACATGGACCATCCACATGGTCTGGGCTTCCTCATGATGGAGTGACTGGGTTTTGCCTAGGTGGTAAATCATAGAAGAATCAAGAGAGAAAAGTGAGCATATTGCCTCTTCTGACCTAGCCTCAGGAGAGATGGGGCATCACTGTCCCCAGAGTCTCCTGCCCGACGCACTGCGAACATGAGGGAAGGTTGTAGAACTCCACCTCTCAGTGGAAAGTTGTCAAGAACACACAGTAAAGATTCGTGAAATGGGATATATATTTGTGTGACCGTTTTGGAAAATACACTCAGCCATGAAGTCTACTTGGCTATTTACTAGCTTTAGTACAGTTACAGATGGAATGTTTGCGTCCCTCTCAAATTCACATGTTGTTGGCATCTTAACACCCAAGGTGATGGAATTAGGAGGTAGGCCCTTTGGAAGGTGAGTAGCTCATGGGGTGGAGCCCTCATGAATGGGATTGGTGCCCTTGTAAAAGAGACACAAAAAGGACCCCTTGCCCTTCTACCACGTGTGAACACAGCAAGAAAATAATGTGTCTGAACTAGGAAGTGGCCCTCACCAAATCTGATGGCACCTTGATCGTGGCCTTCCCAGCCTCCAGAACTTGATAAATAAACTTCTGTTGTTAATATGCTACCCAGTTTGTGGTATTTTGTTACAGGAGCCTGAACAAAAACACACACAACTGTATTTCAAATACTGAATAAGCTTTTTATCTTTTCCTATAATAATCAGAATTTAAAATCCTTCTTCCATTGTTTTGCAATGTATTTCTATTACCAAACCAACTAAGATTTATGATCTTTTCTATTCTGTAAAAATCCAGTTGTATAAAGGTTAATAAACAGTATTTCTGAATTAAACATGAAGTTCTTACAGCAAAAAATTCAAAAAATTTCCAGAATCTAGCAAGTTAAATAAGCATATGTAGAGTGACTTTAGCCTAATTTTTTTTCCCAAAGGAAAATGGAAAGGATTTATAGTTATGTTATGGGAATCTGCAGCTGGTAGGTAAATGTACGGTTTGGGGAAGCAGTATGACGCATTGTGGAAAAACCTAGAAAGAAATCTAGAATATTGCTAGAGAGAGAAGGGAACCCTTCAGACTGATAACAAATAGACTAGCAGGATGATGATTTTCTATGGCGTACAATACTCAAGAGTCCAGACAGTACTGGAAAAGAAAGCTGCCAGGAGCTTAAGATCAAATTAATGTCAGATGATTTCAAAAAGGAGGAAGAATCTTTACCTGAAATTCACACACCTTTAAAGGTACATAAAGAAAATGTTAGAAACTCTTCTAGAGTTTCTAATGTGACGTTTCTAATGTGATCTCTGTATATTAGTTTGTAGTGAAGTTTCTCGTGTGAAGACATCTGTGTATTAGGTACCAGGGCTGTATTACAAATCACTTCACAACCTCTTCAGAGCAGGTCCTGAGCATTTGGTCGGGAGGCTGGCCAGCATGGTGTGGACACGTACCCACTGGCCAGGAGTCCTACTTGGGTGCTCCAGCAAACACCCGCTTACCAGGATTCGATCTGAGAGTCAGAAGTGACCTCAGGCCAGGTACAGTGGCTCATGCCTGCAATCCCCGCACTTTGGGAGGCCAAGGTGGGTGGATCACTTGAGGCCAGGAGTTTGAGACCTGCCTGGCCAACATGGTGAAGCCCTGTCTCTACTAGAAATACAAAAAACAACAACAATAACAACAAACAAAAACAAAACAAAACAAAACAAAAACCAAACCAAACCAAACAAAAATAGCCAGGCATGGTGGTGGGCGCATGTAATCCCAGCTACTAGGGAGGCTGAGGCAGGAGAATCACTTGAACCCGGGAGGCAGAGGTTGAAGTGAGCCAAGACTGTGCCACTGCACTCCAGCCTGGGTGACAGAGTGAGACCTCGTCTCAAAAAAAAAAAAAAAAAGGCTCTGCGCAGTGGCTCACGGCTGTAATCCCAGCACTTTGGGAGGCTGAGGCGGGTGGATCATGAGGTCAGGAGATTGAGACCAGTCTGGCTAACACGGTGAAACCCTATCTCTACTAAAAATACAAAAAATTATCTGGGCATTGTGGCATGTGCCTGTAGTCACAGCTACTTGGGAGGCTGAGGCAAGAGAATTGCTTGAACCCTGGGGGGGGCGGAGCTTGCAGTGAGCCAAGATTGTGCCACTGCACTTCAGTCTGGGAAACAGAGCGAGACTCCGTCTCAAAAAACAAAAAACAAAAACAACCGAAAAGAAATGACCTCAGTACATCACCGGCTCCAGTCCTGCCTGGATAGGTAGGTAGGGGATTCTTGGATTCACTTGCGCAACAAGGCGACCATGTATTAGAAGCATGAAGAGATGTGCTCAAAAATCCCACAGAAAAAGAAGTTGTGGAATCAAACCTATAACCCAGATCTGCTTCCTTCTGGTATTAATGCCATTCACTCCATTCATCATGCTTCAGTATAACGGAGACGCAGTCCACTTCATCCCCCGGCGTTTGGATAGAGGATGAGATGCCTTAAATTGCAGGTCAGCTCTGCCACCAGCACGCCACACGGCTGGAGGGCAGGGCAGCTCCTCACCCGTGGAAGGGAGACTCATTAGGTTCACACCAAGGTTTCTTCTCAATTCTAAATTCATGAGCTCAGATGCTACATCTTTTCCATAGAGTGGGTGCTAAGACAGACACGGCCACACCTAGAATGTTCAGGTAGAGAAGCTGCAACAGCAAGATGGTCAGGAGCGTGGCAATGTCGTTGGTGATCTGTTTTGCTGCATTGGAGCTGTTGGGCGAGGCAGGGGCTGATCACACACACAGCCAGGTCAAGCAGACACAAGGACAGCATGCTGACATGAAGACCAATCACCCATCACAGCATTTTCACGGGAATGTGTCAGCTTGGCATTTTGTGACCTCGTGTCACCGCGGCTGCTCACGCCATGGGAGCTCTCAGGGCCTCTGATCCCCAGTATGATGACGTGAGGGGCTGCGCAAGGAGGTGGCCGGGGTCAGCAAGCAAGTCACCAACAGGGGACAGGACCCTGCCACTGGGGCTGGGTGTTTGATGGGTTCTAAACACAGATCGCAGGAAACAGCAGCAGCTGAGTGATCTAAGGCCGGTTTCCCTTCCCTGAAAGGCTTCACGGCAGGTGTTATTTGAACGCCTCCAGCCACCACGCCGTGTGTATTGCGGGCTGGTGTGGACGGAGCTTTGCCCTCACATGGTTATATGTCCAGATCCTGGCAGCTTCTCTCACAGCCGCAGAATGTAAATCATGTGAGATACAGAACTTCACACAGAGCTCAGAATCCCTGGAGGACAAAAGACATGGCCATCAGAAACCACTCAAAGAGAAGCCCCAGAGAAGGTGCCACATGCAGGCGGCCATAAATGACACCCATGAAGGGAGATGGAGCCTTTCTAAGCTTGGTCTAAAGGTCGGGGGTTGAAAATAGGACCAAGATTTCGAGTAAAGTTAGCTTAGTGGTTATGTCACATTCGTTCTCCCCGAGAAGGAGCAACAGGCATGACTAATGGGCGCTGGCAGATTAAACCAAGACGCGTTCCCAGCGCTGCCCACACCGCATCAGAACACAGCTCCACGCTGACTAAGCATGTCATTCTAGGTACATTTAAATAAAATTCAATTTATAGTAAATCTTCATCATACATCTATTTTAAATTGCTGATTCTTAAAAAAGAAAATAAGAATCTTCACTTCAACGTGTTCAGTGCTTCCAGATCTGTCCTATCTGTTCCCATTCTTGGTTAAAGCAGGCTTTCTTCATAACCTGCACTCACCTTTGAAGTCAAGGCTCAAAATATTATGTATAAAAATGTTTTATTGGTGTTGCTCAATGTTAATCAAGCCATCAGTTAGAGATGCCAGGCACAAAATTAAAATGCCACCCCAAATAAAATACTTCAGAAGATTTTAATCTATCAAAGCGTGCATTACACATTTGTTACGTTCAAGACACCGTGCAAAACACTGCAAGAAACGGAGGTGGAGGCGAAGTTTGCAGACTAAGGAGGTGAAATGAAGGCAAACCCAAGAGCTCCATATTGAAGCTGTATCATGCGCATTGGCGTTGTTCTTTCTTAAAGCTGCTTCTGTGGACAATGGGGTCACTATATCTCAGCTCCACATTTTACCCCAGGTAGGTCCTTTGAGTCCCTGTGGCTCTGAGCCATGTGGTAGCTGCTCTTTTCCATGCCTGGGGGCAGCAGATTCCTTTTACCAGCAGAAGGAAACATGATGCCAGGGGAAGCGTGTGTTCTAGAATGAGCCACAACCAGAAATCTGGGTGTTTGGGTCTATATTTCCACCCGGAGTGACCTCCCCTTCTCTCTACATGAAGGGCCAGGTGAGAGGCTGTCTTAGAGAATGTCGGCTGGAACATTCTCCAGGGGCTGCGTTTAGGCATGGCAAGGGCACGTGGAGAATTTCACACTGCAATGCCAGACCAGACCTGTGAGGCCACAGACTTTGAGTGGCTCTAAGGAAAGAAATTACAAACACACGGCACAGGGTCTCTGTGAGTTCAGCTTTAAGTCCAGCTCAAATATTAGCAGCAAACAAGGTAGAGGCAGCAAAAGGATATTAGCAAGCAATATCACATAAGGATGACCATTCATGGTCAAGCTTAGCTGAAGGTTACATATCCTTAGTTTTTATTTTAAGTGTTTGTGTCGGAGAGGGGAGCAGTGGGGGGTGGGGGACAACCCCGAATGCAGTTTGGAATGATACAGAGTGGAAATAAATGAATACAGAGATCTGTAGGTCATGGATCAGAAAGTATGAGCTAAGCTTTACATGGACTTAATGGGGCAGGAGTAGTGGAGCGGTGGTATTTCCATCCCCTCACAGAAGTAATAGGCAGGCTGTCCTTCATGACAGCGGGGTTTAGTGTTATTTATCTAGATATAATATTCAGCTGAAAATGGGATAAACATACAAGTTGTATTCTGGTTTATTTTGAAATGGAAAAGTGCAGTGATGTTACAAAAATAGTCACTTTAATCAGGAGCTTTCATTTCCTTGCTAATGATGGGGTGTACTCAAACGCATGAATAAGAGATCTGTGAATTTATCATTTTGCTCCATGCCTCCCTCAGAGCCCATTATCTAAAATTGGTGCAGGAAGCAAACAGTGTCATGAAAATAGGTTAACCTAGTAAAATTTAGTTAACTGTACATCTCTTCTGAAACTTCGGTGTGTGCACACAAGCCCTGGGGATCTGGTTAAATGCAGATTCTGCTTTTGTAAGCTTGGGTGGGGCTTAAGATTCGGTATCTCTAACAAATTTCCTGGAGATGCCAACACCCTAGTCCGTAGACCGCAGCTTCAGAAGCCAGGCAGTAAAAAGATAGATGACTTCTGTTCCACAATCCCAGACTGCGCACTTACACTGCGCGGCAGGTGCCACGTTCAGATCTAGTACCACGAAGATAAGCAAGACCGGTTCCTGACCTCGAGGGACTCGAGGGGACAGTTTTGCTTTTGTGAGTTTCATGCTGGACACAGGTGCACAGAGGTCACTATGGCATGCAGGAGAGAATGGGCTGAGGTTTGTCTTGCGCTTTGAAGAAGCATTTCCAGAGCGGGTTCAGAATGCAGTCAGTGACGGAAGGGGCGACTTAGTCTATGGTGTTTGTATTGACGGAGGCAGCCACTGAACTATCCTGAGATGCTCCCTTAAGCCTCTGCATGTTGATAAGAACTCGTCCAAGGCAGCCAAGGCCAATGCTGTGTCTCTTAAGTGGCTTTAAATGTCACAGATAGGATGTGATGGAGAGCTAGAATAGAGGCGCTATTAATAGAGAATGTGTCCTCGCATCAGTAGCTCAGTTCATGTGGTTCCAAATAGTTTTTTTTTAAAGAAAGGATTCCAGCCTACACACTCTCCTACTTACCAGGGTCTCAGGAATTGGGACTTGGAGACAAATGACTTACGCCCCCCACAAGCTGTGCTTCACAGAGGGGGGCACCCCACTTCCTGGATCAGACCTGTCTTCACCCCCCCGGGCTGCCTTTCACATCCTCCCCCACCTCTACGTTTCACTGGACAAAGCACATCAAAATGTGACATTTCTTCCCAATAGTAATAGAAGTTTGGCTTTGGAATTAATGTCACCATTATATCTCTTTTTTTACGTATCCATTTTTTAACACAAATATTTTATAAACTGATTTTTGAGTGCTTATCGGTTCTCTTATAATTTTACAGTTATTATTGTTAGAATTTCAGAATAGTGAAAGCTTCGCTGCATATATACATAACTTAAGCTGACAAATTTACAAAAAATATGTCAAATATTGACGATAGGAAAACTGTAGCTAAGTAATTCCATTGATTCTACACATGAGGATGTTTTGTGTCCGGAAAACATAATTTTGGAAACATAAAAACATCTCTTCATATAATGATAAATGTTAGAATGTCACCTTTTAAAAGAAAAATAAACATTTAGTGTCGGTGCTTTTTTAATGAAGATGATCAACGTGAAAAATCAACGTGGTGGCAAAAAATGTGGGATATCTGCTGATTGTAAAAAACATAGAACATCCATACTAAGGAGGCCATGGAAAATAAAGGGAAGTTACTACAATACAAGACATACAAGTTAAAGCTGGGTCAGGGACTCAGCCATGACTCACTTTCAGGTTCATCCGCACACCTGTTGGGTATAAACTACAGCTTTAACTGTCGGTTGACTGCAGATTCAGCATCAACACGGTTGCCCTTTTATTTCAAAGACTGAGGGGTAAACAGGCTTGAAGTGACACTTTATGGGTCTGGGCCACCTCCCAGCTCTCAGAGGCTCCCTCTACTGTCCCCTCCCAGGCCCCAAGGCCCACTAGGCTGCTCCCAGCACTGCCCATAGTAGACAGAGTCCCCACGGCCTCCCAGGGCTATAGGCTGTCTTCACTGTCCATCTCTCAGTGGGCTCTCCACAGCTTCAGTCCTTTACCCTGCAGGGAGAATAAAAATAGTCTGATGAACAAATCCAGACTCATAACAACGATATAGTTGCTTCAATAAACATATCTTCCCAAATACAATCTGCATTAAATTCTTCCTAGCTCTCAGGACAAGATTAAATATCATTTATATAAAATATATTGTATAATATGTTATATATTATTGTATATGATATTAAATGTAATAGAAGAATGGCAACAACAGCAGCTATCTATTAATCCAATGGTTCCTAAATAGGTACAGTTCAGAATCACTTGGTGTCTTTTAAAAGCTCTAAGAGTCAAACTGTAGGCTAGACCAATTACATCATAATCATGGGAGCGGTCTGAGACACCCTCCCTAGCGTTTTCTGAAGATCCTCGGATGATGTGTGCAGATGAGCTTGGGAATCAAGGCAGGAAGCATTTACCCCAGGGCCTTGGCGTGGTGTTATCTATACGCTTCCATTTGACTGGGAGTTTTGGTCAAGTTCACTGGGATGGTCAGAGATGACTTGGCCAGTCTGACTCCAAAGCCACACTCTCTGCTATCCTTGGGAGTAACATACGCTTAATGTAAAAGGTGGATTTGGCTGAGACCACTTCAAGGCAATCCAATGAATGGATGTTTTGGAATGAGGTTTGCTTTCTGGCCTGTCTCAACAATTTACAGTTCTTTCAACAAGACTTATTGAGAATTTATTGTGTGTCAGGTCTGACCCTGGAGAGACAATGATGAAGAAGACAGGATTGCTTCTCTCCAGCAGCTCATAGTTTACTTAGGAAGATAAAAATAATTAGAAAACAGCGTGCTTTGTGCTGTGTGCTGAGGCCCTGAGAGACATCCTTTATGGTTGTGCAGAAGACTGAATAGAAAGGCAGAGGCTTTGCAGGGCAAGAAGGATGAAGAGATGGGGAAGTCCAGACAGCAGAAATAGAACATATGTGAGGTTGTGTCCCCAGGCTCAGAAGACTGGAGTAATTCTTTGCAAAAGGAGATGGGACTACAGTCATGATTAGGCAAGGACTAGAAACTTCCACAAGGGCAAGAATGCAAAGGGCTTCATCCAAGGGGAAACTGGGAGATGTGAAATATTTTATGTTGTTTTACTTCTATGCAGAGCAACGCTTCACTCAATGAGTTTTTTCAAAGACAACTTAAAACGTGGGGCCTCTGTTGGTGGATGGAGTCAAGGTGGAAGATGATGGAGGCAGGGAACGCTGAAGACCATGAATGCTAAGGGCCATGAACACTGAAGACAGACAGTGAATGCTGAGGATGGTGAATTGATTTTTTCTTATTCCTGATATGAGAGCAGCCCCACTGCTGGTGACAGCCATGGAAGATATTAGTGTCACAGATCAGCATGCAGTCTGTCAAAGTAGCTTATGCATCTAATCTAATCCTCCCAACAACCCTATAAGCTAGGTCTTATTATTATTGGTGTCCCTATTTTACAGATGAGGAAACTGAGGCACACACTGGCTTGTCATAACTGCACAGCTAGCAAGAGGCAGTGGGATTTACAGTTATGTGCCTGATTCCAGAGTTTTGTGCTTCTGATCTTTACATTTATACAGTCTCTTGCTTTTGTCTGGAATGTGCTGCTTAAGCAGATAATGCTATCAAGATTTTAATGGCCTTTTAAAGAGAAGCCAGATTTTCCTTCTCACGTTTTTAGTTCTTTCCTTAATTATTCCCACAACATATATATATGTTCTATCATTTCTGATTAACAAGAGCTGGAAAGAATTTAGTTCTCTGCACAGTAAAAATGACATCAGTTCTGAGGTTTTAACATCTATAGAGTACACAAAATTGCTGAAAAAAGTTTAATTCACTTCCCACTTAGTTCCTCTCAAAGATGAAGGATTTCTTGTATCATCGTATTTCCTTGTATTTCCTCAGAAATACATGATTTCACAAAAACCTTAAGGTCTTCTTTCCTTAAAATAAATTCAGACTTGATTATAACAATCTAAGTGCACAGTGGGGATTAAATAATATATTATTTCTGATGAGAAGATACACTTTTCCTAGAAACATTTGAATTAAAATAGATTTTCAATTCCTATTTTCAAGAATTTTAAAGGACTGACTAGTAAACATAAACTTTTTTTTTTTTTTTGTACAATTTGAGTCTTGGCTAAGAAGCGAGAACTTGAAGTTCTCGTGTTTCCTACTTTAACTAGTTGTGTAAGTTTAAGTAACCTCCTCCACATTAATTAAATGTTGAACATTAAATCTCAGCTTCTACTTTGCTCAACAGATGATCTCTAAGACCTCTTAGATGCTTTGAGTACATCTTTCTGTTCATAGACAAAACCTGTTACCAACAAAAATTAAGGAACACACCAAAAAAGATTGCTTTTTCCCCCAACTTTAGTTTTTCGTGCTAGGCTTAGGATAAATTGCGTACTATGGATAAATTGCATACTATCAATAGGTAGCATGATTCATGATTAAAACTGAGAACAACATATGTTAAGAAAACAGTCCTTTTAAAAGTAGGTGTTTGCTCACAGTCTCTGCCTAAAAGCTCCTTGATCTGATAAACAACTTCAGCAAAGCTTCAGGATACACAACTAATGTACAAAAATCAGCAGCAATCCTATATACCAACAACAGCCAAGTTGAGAGCTCTATCAAAAATTCAATCCCATTCACAGTAGCCTTAAAAAGAAAAAAACACCTAAGAACACAGCTAACCAGGGAGGTGAAAGATCTCTAGATGAGAATTAAAAAACACTGGGAATGGTGGCTCATGCCTGTAATCCCAGCACTTTGAAAGGCCAAGGTGGGCAGATCACGAAATTAGGAGTCCAAGACCAGCCTGCCAACATGGTGGAACCCTGTCTCTACTAAAAATACAAAAATTAGCCAGGCGTGGTGGTGTGCACCTGTAATTCCAGCTACTCAGTAGGCTAAGGCAGGAGAATTGCTTGAACTCAGGAGGCAGAGGTTACAGTGAGCTGAGATGGTGCCACTGCACTCCAGCCTGGGCGACAGAGCAAGACTCTGTCTCAAAACAAAACAAAACAGCACTTGGGAAAGCAATCAGAGATGACACAAACAAATGGAAAAACATTCCATACTCATGGATAGAAAGAATCAATATTGCTAAAATGGCCACACTGCCCAAAGCAATTTACAGATTCAATGTTATTCCTATCAAACTACCTAACATTTTTCACAGAATTAGAAAAAGCTGTTTTAAAATCTATATGGAACCAAAAAAAGGGCCTGAATAGCCAGGAAAATCCTAAGCAAAAATAACAAAGCTGGAGGCATCACATTACCTGACTTCAAACTATACTACAAGACTACAGTAACCAAAACAGCATGGTACTGGCACAAAAAAACAAACATATAGACCAACGGAACAGAATAGAAAGCCCAGAAACAAGGTTACACACCTATAATCATCTGATCTTTGATGAAGTCAACAAAAACAAGCAGAAGGGAAAAGACTCCCTATTCAATAAATGATGCTGGGATAACTGGCTAGCCACATGCAGAAGACTGAAGCTGGACCCCTTCCTTACATCATATACAAAAAACAACTCAGGTGGATTAAAAACTTAAATGCAAAACCCAAAACTATAAAAACCCTGGAAGACCACCTAGGCAATATCATTTTGGACGTAAGACCAGGCAAATATTTCATGACAAAGACACCAAAAGCAATTGCAACAAAAATAAAAATTGATAAATGGCACCTAACTAAATAGCTTCTGCATAGCAAAAGAAAACATCAACAGAGTAAACAGACAACCTACAGAATAGGAAAAATTACTTGCAAACTATGCAACCAACAAAGGTCTAATATTCAGAATCTATTAAAAAAAAAAAACTTAAATAAATTTACAAGCAAAAAGCAAACAACCCCATTAAAAAGTGAACAAAGGTCATGAACAGACACTTTTCCTTTTTTTATTATTATATTTTTATTATACTTTATGTTCTAGGGTACATGTCCACAACGTGCAGGTTTGTTACATACGTATACATGTGCCATGTTGGTGTGCTGCACCCATTAACTCGTCATTTACATTAGGTATATCTCCTAATGCTATCCCTCCCCTCTCCCCCCACCCCACAACAGGCCCCGGTGTGTGATGTTCCCCTTCCTGTGTCCAAGTGATCTCATTGTTCAATTCCCACCTATGAGTGAGAACATGTGGTGTTTGGTCTTCTGTTCTTGCGATAGTTTGCTGAGAATGGTGGTTTCCAGCTGCATCCACGTCTCTACAAAGAACACGAATTCATCCTTTTTTACGGCTGCATAGTATTCCATAGTGCATGTATGCCACATTTTCTTAATCCAGTCTGTCACTGATGGACATTTGGGTTGGTTCCAAGTCTTTACTATTGTGAATAGTGCCGCAGTAAACATACATGTGCATGTGTCTTTATAGCAGCATGATTTATAATTCTCTGGGTCTATACCCAGTAATGGGATGGGTGGGTCAAATGGTATTTCTAGTTCTAGATCCTTGAGGAATCACCACACTGTCTTTCACAGTCCTGCCAACAGTGTAAAAGTGTTCCTATTTCTCCACATCCTCTCCAGCACCTGTTATTTCCTGACTTTTTAATGATTGCCATTCTAACTGGTGTGAGATGGTATCTCATTGTGGTTCTGATTTGCATTTCTCTGATGGCCAGTGATGATGAGCATTTTTTCATGTGTCTGTTGGCTGCATAAATGTCTTCTTTTGAGAAGTGTCTGTTCATATCCTTTGCCCACTTTTTGATGGGTTGTTTGTTTTTTTCTTGTAAATGTGTTTGAGTTCTTTGTAGGTTCTGGATATTTGCCCTTTGTTAGATGAGTAGATTGCAAAAATTTTCTCCCATTCTGTAGGTTGCCGAAAAGACACTTTTCAAAAGACGTACATGTGGTCAGCAACCATATGAAAATATGCACGTCATTGATCATTAGAGAAACCCCAATTAAAACCTCAATGAGATACTATCTCACATTAGTTAGAATGGCCATTATTAAAAAGTCAAAAAGTAAAAGATGCTGGCGAGGTGGCAAAGTAAAAAAGCCTGCTTATACACTGCTGGTGGGAAAGAAAATTGTTTCAGCCATTGTGGAAAGCAGTTTGGTGATTTCCAAAAGAACTTAGAATTATCATTTGACTAAACAATCTCATTATTGGATATATACCCAAAGGAATATAAATTGTTCTACCATAAAAACATATGCATGTGAATGTTCATTGCAGCACTATTCATAATAGCAAAGACATGGAATCAACCTAAATGCCCATCAACAATAGACTGGATAAAGAAAATATGGTACATATGCACCATGGAATACTACACAGTCATAAAAAACAATGAGTTCATGTCCTTTGCAGATACATGGATGGATCTGGAGCCCATTATCCTAAGTGAACTAACACAGGGACAGAAAACCAAATACTGCAAGTTCTCACTTATATGTGGGAGCCAAATGATGAGAACTCATGAACACAAAGAAGGGAACAACAGACACCTGGGTCTACTTCAGGGTGGAGGGTGGGAGGAGGGTGAGGATCAAAAAACTACCTATTGAGTACTAGGGTTAGTACCTGGGTGATGAGGTAAAACTACCTATTGAGTACTAGGCGTAGTAACTGGGCAATGAGGTAATCTGTACAACACACAAATTTCCTGTATAACAAGCCTGCACATAGATCCCTGAATCTAAAGTAAAAGTTTTAAAAAAAGAAGTAGTTGGTTGCTTCTGTCAGGTAGTTTGAAAGCACCAGAAAGATATCCCTTACAAAACCCTTCTTCCCAAACTGGAACCATTGTGAGAAGTATCATTGCTCCTTGGCAGGATGACACGGTAAACTAATTCACACAACTGTGTCAATGAATTTCCAAACATATAATTCCCGATGGGAGAGGACGTGGCATACAGAAGTCCTCGTCCAATGAAGTGTGCCAAAACCAGGAGGTTAAAGCAGATCAGAAGCACTGTTAGAAGTTTTTTGGTTCTCTTGGAACCATGATTCCACAGCCAGAAAAGCCAAGATCTGGACACGTTTAATCTCATCTGTAGACCCAGAAAATCTGACCCAGGTCTCACTTAATTTCGAAAGTTTATTTTGCCAAGGTTGAGGATGTGAGCCCGTGACACAGCCTCAGGAAGTCCTGATGACATGTGCCCAAGGTGGTTGGGGTGCAGCTTGGTTTTATACATTTTAGGGAGGCATGAGATATCAATCAAATACATTTAAGAAATACATTGGTTTGCTCTGGAGAGAGGGGACAACTCAAAGGCGTTGTGGTGGGAGGGTGGGGGTTGGGTGGGTGGCAGTGGGAAGCTGCTTCCAGGCTATCGGTAAACTTAAACATTTTCTGGTTGACAATTGGTTGAGTTTGTCTAAAGACCTGGGATCAATAGAAGAAAGGAATGTTTGGGTTGTAATAAGAGGTTGTGGAGATGAAAGTTTTATTATGCAGATGAAGCTTTTAGCTAGCAGGCTTCAGAGAGAACATGATGTAAAATGTTTCTTAAAGTCTGTATTGATGTTAATGGAAGAGAGGCATAATGAGGCTTGTCCCACCCCCACTTCCCATCATGGCCTGAACCAGTCTTTCAATTTAAATTTTAAGAGCCATGGCTGATGAGGAAGTTCATTTAGATGGTCGAGGGACCTTAGAATTTTAATTTTGGTTTACACATTCAACAAAAATCTACTGAAGACCTACACTAAGCCAAGTGCTACTCTCCAAGTTCCAGGGGCTGGAAGTTGGATGATGAAGACAAATGAGGTCACATTGCCTAATGCTGCACCCTCACTCGGGTTGCTTATTGTATTAGTCAGGCAGGGTTCTCTAGAGGGACAGAACTAGTAGGATATATTTTTATATATGTATATGTATATTAGTTCTCCTATATATATAGTTCTCATATATATACATATGTATATATCTATATATATGTATACACACATATATACATATATACACATATATCCATATGTGTGTATATATATATAAGAATTATATATAGGAGAACTAATAGGAGATATATATATCTCCTATAGTTTACGAAGTATTATCATTAAGTATTGTATATATACTCCTATATATAATAGGAGATCTTATATATATAAAACTAATAGGAGATGCACATATATATACTCCTATATATTTTATATATATATATGCCTATATATAAAATAGGAGATTATATATATATAACTAATAGGAGATATATATATTTCATATTAGTTTATTAAGTATTATTAAGTATTATATCTCCTATTAGTTTATTAAGTTTATTAGTTTATTAAGTATTAACTCACAGGATCACAAGGTCCCACAGTAGGCCATCTGCAGGCTGAGGAGCAAGGAGAGCCAGTCCGAGTTCCAAAACTGAAGAACTTGGAGTCTGACGTTTGAAGGCAGGAAGTATCCAGCACGGGAGAAAGATGTAGCCTGGGAGGTTAGGCCGGTCTCACCTTTTCACGTTTTTCTGCCTGCTTCATATTCACTGGGAGCTGATCAGATGGTGCCCACCGAGATTAAGGGTGGGTCTGCCTTTCCCAGCCCACTGGCTCAAATGGTAATCTCCTTTGGCAACCCTCGCAGACACACCCAGGATCAATACTTCACATCCTTCAATTCCATCAAGTTGACACTCAGTATTAACCATCATATCCATGCACCCCTGATGTTAGATGTGGCCACGTGACAAGTTTTGGGAAGGAACTATCAGTAGCTGTAAGCTGTGTCCGTTCTAAGGAAATGGATTTAAGGTCTGGAGCAGAATTCTCCATTTGGTGTCTTCTACTGCCGTGCCAGTGGGTTTCCGGTGGTGCAGGAGAAGACGCTGGAGCATCCGTCTGCCTGGATTGCTGCATCAAAGTCGGCAGGGCGGTGACTCTAAAGAGCCACCCAGATTCACGGAGGGCTTTTCCTGAGTAAAATAAGCACCTGCGGCATCCAGCACAGAGATTCTCAGGTGATACGTACCTGCAGCATTACCTAGACTGTAGGGCTGAAACTCCAGACGACGTCCTGCCACACAAGGTCTACTGCCTAGTGTGAGACAGACAATACAATGCCAATGAGACATGATGTCATATTATGAAGAAATAAGTGCCTTAGACAGTGGAGGAAGGTGGTAGGCCAGGGAGACTCAGTGGGCTGTTTAGATACGATGTTGGGGGGAGTTTTTTCCAGTAGATGAGATATCTGAAAAACAAACAACAAAGAAGGTGCTTCACGAGAATAAAAAGCATTCCAGGGAGAAGAGCTAGTGAAAAGTCTCTGCACCTGGATGAGCTTGGCCGACGTGAGGGACAGAGGAAGGTGCAGGGTAGAAGGAGGTGAGCCTGGGGCACTGTGAGATGAGGCAGGGATGAGGCGGCAGGATGTCGCTCGGGTGATGGTTGGAATTTTCATGGGATTCCAAGTACAGTGAAAAACCAGAGAGAGGTCTGCGCAGGGCACTGGCCCATCTTGGTTGTAGAGCTGTGACCGTGGTGTGGAATAGAGAGTTCAGGGAGCAAGAGTGTGAAGAAGGGGCCCCCAAGAGATCCGTGTGGATGTCTGCAGTGTTGGGAATCAGGAAAGCAGTAGTGGGAATTGTGGGAAGTGTTCAAATTCAGATAGTATTCTGGAATTAAAGTCTTGCCAATGACTTAGATGTGGGGTGTGAGGGGAAAAAGAGAAATTAATATTGACGTGCAGTGTTTTGACCTAAGCAGTGTTTTGACCTAAGCAACTTGGTGAATAGAACTGGTATTTATTAAAATGGGAAAGATCTAGATTGAAACAGATTTCGATGTTAGGGCTGGGGGAAAAGAGAAATCAAGAATTCTCCCTGAAATACATGCATGCCTATTTTAAGATATACATGTAGAATATCAGTTGAACAGGTATTTGCACATATAGTTCCAGAACTCAGACCAAGTGGTCAAAGATAGAGATAGAAAGACTTTTTATAAAAAGGCCGGGTTTTGTGGCTCATGCCTGTAATCCCAGTGCTTTGGGAGGCTCAAGTGGGAGGACTGCTTGAGCCCAGGAGTTCGAGACCAGTCTGGGCAACATAGTAAGGTCCCTTCTCTACACAAAAACTTAAAAAATAAAATAAAATAAATTATCCAGGCATGGTGGCATGCACTTTTAGTCTCAGCTACTTGTGGGGCTGAGGTGGCAGAATGATTTGAGCCTGTGGCTGCAGTGAGCTGTGATCATGCCACTGCACTCCAGCCTTGGTGACAGTCTAAAAAAAAAAAAAAAGAGAGGAAAGAAAGATAAAGAAAATAAAGAGGAATGAAAAGAGTGAGGGAGGATAGGTAGGTGACTAGGTTGAGGGATGGATAGGTGGATTACAGAACCTGAGGCATCTAAAGCCACAGGCATGGATGGGATACCTACAATATACATAGACAGAGAAAGTGAGAGAGAAGAGCATTGGGTCCCAGGGCGCTCTTAGGTGTGGACCTCAGGAGGAGGAGGTGATCCTGCAGGACAGATTGGAAAGCAATGAACAGGAAGGTAAGAAAAATACCCAGGTGAGTCTGTTGCTTTGGAAGAAAGCAAGGAAAGCATTTCAAGAAGGAGAGAGTGATCAATTGTATCAGAGATGACCAACGGGTCAGTAAGATAAAGCAGAGAACAAAGCTTTGGAGGTGTGTGATGTCCTAGGAAGAACTCACCCATGGAACGTGAGGGATTAAAAACCTAACTGCGTGAGTTCAAGAGAGGCTGAGTGTTTGTTGTTGGGGTAGAAACACTTCAGTTTACTTCAGTTCAACCCAACACTTCGGAAAACTGTCTAATAGTTTCTTTAAAATTGTAAAATACACCTCTCGTGTAATCCAGCCATTCCATGCCTAGGTATTTACCGAACAGAAGTAAAAAGATATGCTCACACAAAGAACTGTACACATATGTTCACAGCAAATATATTTGTAATAGACCCAAACTGGAAGCACCCAAATGCCCCTCAGCGGGATAAGTGAATTGCAGCACAGTCAGCACCACTTAACCAGAGGGTAAGCTCTGGGAAATGGCTCATCAGGCGATTTTGCTGCTGTGCGAATGCCATAGAGTAAGCTTGCACAAACCTAGATGGTATAGCCTACTACACACCTAGGCTATAGGGCAGAGCCCATGGTTCCTAGGCTACCGACCTGTTGAGCGTGTGGCTGTACTGAATACTGTACGCAACTGTAACACAACGGTATTTGTGTGCCTAACCATAGAAAAGGAACAATAAAAACATAATATAAAAGACAAAAATGGTACATCTTTATAAGGCTTTTGCCATTAAGGGAACTCGCAGGACTGGAAATTGCTCTGGGAGAATCAGCGAGTGAGCGGTGGATGAACGTGGAGGTCTAGGACATTGCTGTGTACTACTAGAGACTTATAAAGACTGTGTACTCAGGCTACACTAAAGTTATTGAAAAACATTTTAATTTGTTGAGAGTAAGTTAACCTTAGTTCACAGTAAGTCTTTTTTTTTTTTTTAACTTTCTAAATTTATTTATTTTTATTTATTTTTTTAGTTTTTGAGACAGTCTCGCCCTTTCACCTAGGCTGGAGTGAGTGCAGTGGTGCAATCTTGGCTCACTGCAACCTCCGTCTCCCAGGCTCAAATGATCCTCCTGCTTCCGCCTCCCTAGTAGCTCGGATTACAGGTGCGCACCACCATGCTCAGCTAAATTTTTTGTATTTTTGGTAGAGATGGGGTTTTACCATGTTGCCCAGGCTGGTCTCCCACTCCTGAGCTCAAGTGATCCGCCCACCTCAGCCTCCCAAAGTGCTGGGATTACAGGCATGAGCCACTGCGCCCGGCAGTATTTTTAAACATTTTTTGTCTCCTTTGTGATAACACTTAGCTTAAAACAAATTGTACATCTGTACAAAATATTTTCTTTCTTTATATCCTTATTCTATAAGCTTTTTTCCTATTTCAAACTTTTTTTTGAAAAATGGTTTGAATGTTTTTGTTAAAAACTAAGACACACACACACAAACACACACACACACACACGTTAGCCTAGGCCTACAGAGGGTCAAGATCATCAATATCCCTGTCTTTCACCTCCACAATTTATCCCACTGGGAGTTTGTCAGGGGCAATAACAGGCATGGAGCTGTCATCTCCTCTGAGAACAATGCCTTTGTTTTTTGAAGGACTTGCTGGAGGCTGTCATACATTTAACTTTAAAAAAAAAAAAAAACCGAGCAGACATACAGTCTAAATAGGATAAAAACATGGTATAGTAAATATGTATGTCAGTAACAGTTTATTATCATTATCAAGTATTATATACTGTATATAACTGTATATGCTATCCTTTTATGGGACTGGCAACACAGTAGGTCTGTTCACAGCAGCATCACCACAAACACATGAGGAAGGATGGCATTAGGACATTACGATGTAACCAGGGGATAGGAATTTTTCAGCTCCATTATCATCTTGCAGGACCTCCATTATATTTGCAGCCCATGATTGACTGAAACATGAGCGCATGGCTGTATTGCCATACAATGGAATGCGACTTACAATAAAAAGGAATAGACCAATGATATGTACAACAATGTGGATGAACTTCCAAATAATTTTGCTGAGAAAAAAGCCAAACAGGCACAATGGATTAAATACTGTGCGTATATACAAAATTCTAGAAGACTTCAAGCCAATTTCTAATAAAATCAATAAGACATTGGTATCTGAGATAAAGAGAGGCATAGACTGCAAAGAAGCACAGGAAGCTAGAATTGTAGACATTCTGATTGGTGAGTATTGATAGCTCATTGTGGTTCTAGTTTGCATTTCCCTGATGACTAACCATGTGGAACATTTTTTATATACTTATTGGCCATTTGTATTCATTCTTTTGTAAAGTGTCTCTGCAAACTTGCTGGTATTTTTTACTGGGTTGCTTACCTTCTTAATATTGAAACATAAACATTGCATTATATATTCATGCAATATAAATAGCACAGAAGTGTATTTCTTCAAAAAAAAAAAAAAAAAAAAAAAAGATTTCAAGAGCCAAACTCGCAACATTAGCTCTGTCTTCCAGGCGCTTTGTCAGGTAACGAAATACTATAGCATTGTAGGGTGTTTCCATATCAATAAACTCTTTCTAATTTCCCCTATAAATGTACATTATAAATATAAATATATGTTATATATAAATATATCATTAGATATGTAAGATATAGAAATATAAATAAATATATTTTAACTATATAAATTTTCTTCAGGGACAATAAAACTTTTAATTGCAAGGTTTCCTTGCTTCCCTGGCACATTCACACTTGCTCATAGAGTATTGTATTTCAAATGCTCCTCAATTCTATTGGTTATTAAGTTCAGTTTTTTGCTGATATTTATGTATTAAGCTAGCCTTCATTTATAGAGAGTGTGTGTGTGTGTGTGTGTGTGTGTGTGTGTGTGTGTATGAGCACACATGTGCACCAGGACAGTATCTTCCACAGGTTTTGATATTGTAGCTTTTGTTGAATTTTTTTTTTTAGAGAACGCTTATTAAAGATCTGTAATGGCTTAAGTAGCACTGGAATTATTCTTGAAGGTTAAAAGGCATTCACCAGGGAAACTGTGTGGACCTAGAATTTTTTCAAGGGGTAGCACATGTAATAGAGACAATCATGGAAACATGTATATTGGTAGGAGGTTTAAATAATGAAATAATGCAGGTAAAGCAGGTAGAGTGAATCCCAGTTCATACATATCACAAGTTCAGAAAATCTCCCAGTGCTAGGAGCTACCTTTTTTTTGCCTTGCAAATAAATCAGAAAGATGGGAGATTAAGAAGAATGCTATGTCATCACACACTACACCGTTCTAAAAGTTTTATTGTTCCTGAGAAATTTTTAAGAATGAGGAAAAATTTAGTGGGAAATTATGGTATTGACAATTACCCTTTGTTACATTGTTCCTGGCTATCCTTTGCGATTGAGCTGATGACAGGGCCATCTCAAGCAGAAGTACTTGTTCATATTTAGCTTTAAACAGAACATAAAATTAAATTGTGTATGACTTACTTTTTGTGACCTTCCATGATACAGCCGTATTTTTCTGAATTTAGTAATTCCTTAAGGCTTTTTCTCTCACAGCATCCTTCCTTCACCTCTTTAGGTTCTCGGTGCCTAACATTCATTTGGGTTTTATTCTCTAACTCTTTGTCATTACATATTTTTTATTA